AACAAAAGCAAAGGATAGAAGAAGATTCAAACAACAGTTGCCAAACTCTGTTTGCATCAAATCATCAAACAAATTTGGTCACTGCATCATCTATATTTTTCACCCATGCCTATGTCATGGAATTTATCCCCCGGTATGTTTCGTTATTCCTCAGCTCTTTATTTTGATTCTTGGTATGGGTCTTTATATAATACAGGATTGCCAAATTATTTTGCTTGTTGATGAATGTTCAACGGTTCCAAAAGCCAAAATACTTTTATTTTACACATACTTTTATGGATAAATTCATATGGCCGATATTTTATTATCGTTTTTATAAAGTAAAAATATAGCTAACGTGCTATGAGAATGACCCCGCATAGCTCACATTGATGGCTTCAAGGCCCCTGCCCATGCTACCTCTTAAGCAATTTCACCTCACGGACGTGGTACTTCGATGAATTGGCATGCAAATATGTTCCAAACGTTAGTGCTGATTTTATTTAGAATTAAGTCAACTTTTTGTCCCTCGACTATTATGTTGGTCTAATTTTAACCCTCAATTATAAAACTGTCTAGTATCGGTACCCTAACTGTCAAAACCGTTCACTTTTAGCACCTGGGCGCGGGTGAGGCTGTTTGGTCCAACGTGAAGCGGTTTTGACACGCAACCTCTATCTCAGTGACATGTGGGGCCCACGCATCATCGACTCAACCCCTCCCTCTCCATCCTTACGGCCACTCCCCCGACGCGTCCTCTCTCCGCGCGCGGCGAGGCGGGCGCTGCTCACTCGCGCGGCTCCCTCGCGAGCACTGCTCCCTCCGACGCGGCGGCGCTGGCCTCCACTCCTCTCGCGGGCGCGGGCACTGACCCTCGCGAGTCAGGCTGTCCTGGCGCGAGCGACGCGGCGGTGCTAGCCTCCACTCCTCTCGGCGGTCCCAGGGCCGCCGTGCTGGTGTTGCTCCCATGCTGTGCCGAGCAGTGCCGCTGCCGCACGGTGCTACTGCCTGTGCCGTGCTGCGCACATCTGCTCCTCGAGCCAGACGTGCCCACATCCGCGCCAAGGCGCCGATGCCAAGTTGCAGCGGCGGCACGCGAGTAGGGCGACGACGCTCTAGCAGGCTGCAGCGGTGCGCGAGCAGGACGGTGGCGCTCGAGCAGCACGACGTGCGTGACGCGCGAGCAGGGCGGCAGTGCGAGCAGCACAGCTGGCCGGTTGCCGACGAGCCATGGTGATAAGGATGGAGAGGGAGGGATTGAGTCGATGACGCGTGGGCCCCACATGTCACTGAGATGGAGGTTGCGTGTCAAAATCGCTCAACCTCGGTCATAACAGCCTTGCCCCCGCCCAGATGCTAAAAGTGAACGGTTCTGACAGTTAGGGTACCGGTATTAGACGGTTTTATAGGTGAATATTAAAATTAGACCGACACAATAGTTGAGGCGCCGAAAGTGAACTTAATCCTTAGAGAAATCGCTGCCACCGTCGATTCTTTTTAGGACCAAGGGGGACATTCGGTCATCAGCAAACAAACACTTCACAATTTGTCAACCAGACCAACTCAGGTAGTAAATCGATTAATGGTACCTCGATCATTGAGGGCTGCCACATCAAAGCAGCATGATGCATTAGCGAGCATCCTGTTCAGTTGATCTTTGTCAGTCATCTCTGAGGTTTGGGTCTGCAAGTTGAGTCACTTGCCCAGCTTCCAGTAATGGCCATACCTGGATGGCAAGAGGAAGTCTTGTGTGCAGTTGAAGAGGATACAATTTAACATGCTTTAACTCAATGCACTTTGGCTAGAGCTTTCTGGAAATCTTTCAAAAATATATATGGCATTAAATTACCACTATTGCACCCATCTACTTGGAGTCACGACCTTCTTGATACTGCATTCTGTTCGCAGGAGAAAAGTGGCTCTATCTTATGTGCCATGTGGGCATTATGGACAGCAAGAAACAGAAGAAAGCACGGAGAAACATCAATTTAGTTATATCAAGCTTGCTGGTGGACATGGGAAATGGCAACTGATCTTATCCATTCTAGCCTGCCATCAGCATACACTTTGAAGATGGAAATGAAGAAGGTTTGCTGGTGCCCTCCTCTTGAAGGCGTAATTAAGGTGAATTTTGATGCAGCTTTTAAAACTGAAACTTATCAAGGTGCCTCGGGAGTGGTTGCACGTAATGAACATGGTCAATTTGTAGCAGCCAAATGTAGACAACATGAGTCGATACATGATGCTCTTACTGCTGAAGCTTATGCGTATCGTGATGGGGCGCTACTGATAAAGGATCTTGGACTAACAAAGGTGATTGTTGAAACAGATTGTCAAGAATTGGTGGCTCTATGGAATTCTAGAGCTACTAATAGGTGTGTTGTTATTCCATTGCTAAATCAAGTCCAGGATCTTAGTTGTCAATGCACATATTTTGCTCTTGCTCATGTAAGGAGGGAAGCAAACATGGCTGCGCATTATACAGCTAAGTTTGCTTTTATCTCAAATTCTGAATGTATGTGGTTACATGATATCCCAGACTTTTTTATCTCTATGTATTCAGCGGGACTCTCATGCTGAGAAATGAAGTAATATAAAAATTTCTTTGTTCTAAAAAAAAAGGAAGTCTTGTGTGAGTTGTTGCTTGGTAACCACAGCTTTTGTTTCTCTTGTGATTACCTATCGTAGAACGCTTTGCTTGGAGCAGTCAATACTCTAGTTCTAGTGACAATCCCCAGCAGCAGAAAGCCAAAGGCAAACATGTCAGTCTTTTCATTAAACGATGCCGTGCATGAAGTATTCTGGTGTCAACTGTCAAGTACCTGCTTAAAGTGATTTTTTTTAAAAAAAAATTGAGTCGAAACACAATAGATTTCCGTTACTATGCTTTCAAAATGAGCATATACTGTTCTTACCGAAATGTGCCCTCTATCATTTTCCCACTCTTCCCTGTAAAATTTGACCTCTATTGTCACATAATTAGACTCCAGAGATTCACTTCAACTCTGAATGATATATATTATATTACTGACTGAAATTCAGTACCGTGCAGCACCAATGCACAGTTCCAGTTCCACATAATTCAAAACATCATGTATAATAACCCATTCACAACGCACCATCCAAGAACTTATGATGTCTTTGGATGGCATACATGCCCCTGAATCCCTGGTTTTGCCTGGAACTCTCTGTCCTTTTCACTGGGCATGTGTTCTACGAGCCTCTTCACAGCTACATGTTGGACATTGGTCCTGTTCGTTGGGAGGAATTTGGAAGAATCTGGAGGAATTTGTGAGAGAGTGAATAGTGAATTCCGGCTGGTTTTTCAACCAGCCGAACGGCGCCATTAGGGGGTGTTTGGTTCACTATTCACCTTCTAAATCTAGTCCCATTTAGTCACTTTTACCCAAACACTCTAACTAAATGGGACTAAAATGGACTTTAGACAACTAGTCACTCAAATATTGCTAAATGGGATTAAACCTCACATTTTAGTCAGGCTATCTCACCTTTTAGTCACTTTGGAGCCAAATATCTTGACTAAAAGAGACTAAAAGGCCTTTTTTAGTTTCTTTTAGTCCACCAAACCAAACAAGGGATGACTAAAGTTTAGGAACTGGTTTAGATGACTAAACTTTAGGAGGTGCAAACCAAACACTGCATAGCCTCCTTTTCCAGCCATGTTATCTACAAGAAAACCACATAAATAAAGATTAGTGTCATGTTCGCTTGGCTGATAAGCCATGATTGAAAATACTGTTGGCTGTTTGCTGTGAGAGAAAAATATTGTTCGTTGACTGAAAAAGTACGGCATTAATGCCATGCTGAGCTTGATGTTTCATTTCTTATGATAGTAAATTCGGTAAACTTTTTTACACTAACAATAGCTGAACTTCTAAAAACTAGATGAACTATTTGAAAAGAATCACATGGATGGAAGGGATTAGTAGCCATTGAAATGTCCTGAAAACTGAAACACCTACAGGAAGGCTTCTGAATTTCAAATCTTCAGCGTATATCCGACTTCGCTGCCCCTCAGCACTGAAACACCTCCAGGATGACAAGATGTGTTGTAGCATTCTTCAGTGGCCCGGTGTTCCCCTTCCTCTAGCCCATCTTGGACTGCCCTCGGTGAACTCTGTGTTTTCAGTTTCAAAATTAGTACCAACTACCAAGTATGTCATGCCGCTGAAGAGCCAGTGTTTTTTACCAAATGAGCTTACCATCGAATGGCCAATATTTTTCTATCTCATAAGTGTGAGTATGGGTAGAATTGAACTGCACTCTAGTTCTACTTGAAAATGAGAAATGAAGCAGACTGAAGTTACATAGGGTAAGAATTTTGTTGATTTCCCAACGAGGATGTTACCATCAGCACAACTGACAACCAATCCACAGATCACAATCAGTATCAACTTCAACCCCACAAATTATCATGAGCAACAAGATCACAGCAAGTAACCATTCCGTCCATTCCAGCGAGAATGATTGATACATACAGCCAACTTTCATTCACCACAAACTGAACCTGATAAAACATCCATCACAGAACCTACCCTAACCTAGGCAAGACGCTACTATTGCTAGGTGGGACTAATCTAAGAAGCTTCAGCAGCGGTCCCCTTCCAATTCAAGCTGAGTGTGAACCAGAGAGAAGGCTACAACTGCCAGTCTAGAACTCCTGTGAGGCGGAGCCGATCTCGGCCTTACCCTTGCCGCCAGCCTTCTTGGGCAGCAGCGTCTGGTGGATGTTGGGCAACACCCCGCCGGCGGCTATAGTGACCGCACCCAGAAGCTTGCTCAGCTCCTCGTCATTGCGCACAGCGAGCTGGATGTGGCGCGGCACGATCCGGTTCTTCTTGTTGTCGCTCGCCGCATTGCTCGCTAGCTCTAGGACCTGCAATTACAAGACCACGATAGAGTTCAGAACACCTTCCGATGGATTCACAAATGGGGAAAGTAACGAGTAAATAAAGAGACTGGAGAGAAAGGGAGGGGCACGGGGAAGAGGATTCGGTTACCTCTGCCGCGAGGTACTCGAGGACCGCGGAGAGGTAGACGGGCGCGCCGCCGCCTACGCGCTCGGCGTACTTGCCCGTCTTAAGGTAGCGGGCGATGCGGCCGACGGGGAACTGCAGTCCGGCTTTGGACGACCGCGACACAGCCTTGGTCCCCTTGGGCTTGCCCCTGCCGCCACCGGAACTCATCTTCTCCTTCCGAGATTGCTCACCGTCTGGTCTACTCGTTGTATCGATCGCCGGAAGTCTGTGACGCTCTGCGGGAGTGGCGGTGTGGGAATGAGATGGAGGGGCGACGGCGGCGAGGCAGGTTATGTAGAGGCCAGGGTGGCGGACGATTGGCCGAGCTGGCGGGGGAGCGGATCGCTGACGTGGAGGATGCGGGGGGCCATCTGATCGGGGAGCGGACGCGTGGGGGCGGTACCTTTTCGCGGGGACAAGCGAAATATTTTTCTATTTGGCAGTTTCATTTTCGCGCCGCGGGGCTTTTGGAAGAGGACCTAGGTGATCGAATCGATAAATATTTGTACCGGAAAAAATAATACCATGATAATATAAATATTTTTTTATTGTTACTCTAAAACTAATGTTTTAATTATATAATGTCCTAAAACATCAACATCAATATTACATGAGTCCTCGTAGAGGAATGACAATTAAAATATTATGGATTGTATATATAAGCATATAACACACAAATAGTAATATAAGCTTAGCCATCAAATCCAGAAGTTTGTCATAAATACTATATGAAGAAATATCTCTCTAGAACAGAATAAATAAGCAGGTATATGTGAGTTGCACAATACATGACCTGCTAATGATATTGAATGTGATTTCTCACCCGTAAACAATATTCCAAAGGACCATAGTCTTGTGCTATGAACAGGAAAAAAACATCATATAGATCTCATCACCATTTAGGCCTTGTTTAGTTCCATGAATTTGGAATTTGGGACTACTGTAGTATATTCGTTTTTATTTGGCAATTATTGTTTAAACATGGACTAAGTAGACTCAAAACGTTCGTCTCTCAATTTCCCACCAAACTATGCAATTAGTTTTTTTTCGTCTACATTTAATGCTCCATGCATAAGCCACAAACATTCGATGTGACAGGTACTGTAGCACTTTTTGGGATTTTGGACTCCAACTAAACAAGGGCTTAGACTCATTTGTGATTTCTTTGCATTTTGTTATGTCACCTCATCCTATGAATAAAAGCGATCGATCTTGTTGATTCTTCTAAGGAATCATAAAAAAAATTGAAGGCTACATATGATCTATTATGGGCCCTATGGATCTACATGCAACCATGGAGAGTTACCTCATGCAACCAGCCGCTGTTTGCTGACTACTGCAGGATCATGGGTGAACCGATGTGGATACATAGGATACACAACACATACATAAGATACAGGAGCCGAGCAATGGATATGGCCAAGCTTTTCAAAGTGGGAAGATTTTGTAAAGAAAATCAGAGGGGAGGACTGCCTTGGTGGCAGCGGCATGGGCAAGTGAGGCAGCAGAGTGTCGGCATCATGCAACGGGACGGATGGGCTTGATACCATGCAGCAATGACATGTGGGGAGGACTTGAGGTGAGGCGACAACAGATGTAGAGGAAACGACGAGGTGACGGTGGATGGGGCGGGTGCACGATGTGAGGTGGATGGTGGCGGATGGGAAGTGGGGGCATGAGGGATTGATGAAGCACGAGAGATAGAGAAAGTGGTGGCATAATCCAAGGGCCACATCTTGTTGCGCAACCATAGCTCGTGGGTTACACGTTCGCGAGACGGGGCAAAGGGAGCCAGGGCGGGGCGACGAGAACGACATAGGCGATACCCTTTTGCATTTTTTAGGTGTAGAGAATTGTGACATTGGTAAGATGTGAAGGTTGTAATCATTCACAGGACGAACCATGGGCCAAGGTGCGGGCCACGTCGTTCGTCAGACACGGATCGGATCGGACTCCTACCCGTTTTGTCCATGGTCCAACCATGGTGTCCCATCCTGAACCGACCACATCTTCCGCTCACTCCCTATGCCCCTACCCATGCGTCGCCGACAACGGCTCAATGGTGTAGCTCACCGGACTGATTAAAGACCATGTGTCGGCGTTTTGTCACCTGACGAGTGAATTTTATACATGTCGCGCTGCTCTAAGAAGACGATAGTAGCATCTAAAGACACAATGATTAATACTGGTTCAGGCCGGAGACCTACGTCTAGTCTCAGAGATAGTTCGAGTGCGTGTTCCTCGGTTGAATGCTTTAAAGTTCTTACAATGGGGTATGCAAGAAGGGAGAAAGAGGTAGGAGAGTAGAGAGGGACTGCCTGAATGAAGTCTCGAGAGTCCATTCCCTTGGAAGGGTGCCCTGGCTGCCCTTATATAGAGTCTGGAGCCAGGTTACATATAGAGAGATAGGTTCTCCCGATCGGGTGGTCATGAGCCTGAGGGAGGGGAAACTAGCTATCTTAGCTTGCAAGGAAGGCCGTCTTGTCTTTGCATCAGCGCACATCCGGGCGTGGTTGTCATCATGGTCTTTTGCCCATGTCACAGCATGGTGTGGCGTGATGCTACAGTGCCGGGTGTGACGGGACTGTTGCCACAGTGGTGGTTCACCAGCCGTCTTGGGCGACATGGTCTCGCCGTGGCCTTCGTCATCGTCTCCTATTTTCCTGGGGTCATCGTAGCGACAATGATGGAGTAGGTAGCCGTTCATTGTGTCGTTAGTCGCCTTGCTGATCGTGGAGCCGGTGGCCTCGATCCCGTGTGAAAGGTCCTTGTGTGGTTTTGGTAATTGAGTGACAACCTAGGTGGACTAATATGTTTAAATGTGAGATACACAGGTGATTAGTCCACAAGTACACTTGTGTGAGCAGCTCATACCATGATGGTGAAGATGGCTTGGATTTGTTGCAAGGCTCACACATGTGATGAAGGAGCTCAATGCATATGGGACATAACATAGAGTCATGTGACTGAGGTGGAGAAGATTAAGATAAGACTTGGCTTGATGGACCGGTTGCAAGCGTGAAGGGCAAGTTGGAGGCTTTGGAGCGATGGACCGCGTGGCGGTTAAACTTGAGCAAGACTTGGCACTGATGTATTAAGGCAACGGTGAAAAACAAGTGAGGTCAAGATCGATGAACCAACAAGGTCACGTGATGATATGAAGTGGATCGTATCATTTGTTGATCAAGGTTGGTGCATGTGTTGCATCAACATTGGAGGAGATGGAATGGAATGCGCAAGGCAAAGGTATAACCTATAGGGCATTTGATTTCACCGGTCATGGGTGTGTAGATAAGTTTATGACCGGGTTTAGGATAGATGGCCGTACTTTCACGAGGGGCAAACTTGTTTGCATATCGGTAATCTAGTGCCACTCGAGTGATCTAACTTTGCGTCATTGCTAGGATTGAGTGGCGTGGTGAATTGAGTGCTAATACTTTGGAAAATATTTGTGAAAAGCTAACACACATGCACAAGATGGTGGACACTTGGTGGTGTTGGCACATTTGCAAAGGAGGAGTTGTTGGAGTCTATTTGGATCATCTTGGAGAAGAAAAGGAGAAGAAAAGAGCAAGTTTGGGTTGTCCGAGGGTCGGAAAACGCAACCAAACTTGTAGCTAACACGTAGCCCAGCCTGAGGGGTGGCACCACCCTTTCCAGTGCGCACCCTAGGGCGGTGGCACTGCCACCCCCTACAACATGCCCAAAACTGCAGTGACACACTTTCGTTTTTGGACATAACTCTTAGCTCCGAACTCCGATTTTGATGATCTAGGACTTTTCAGAAAGCTAATGAAATGCTCTACAAGCTTAAGATGGTGGAAATCAAGTTTGAGCTGATAGTGGCACCACCATGGTCACTGGACTGTCTGGTGCCTGGCACCATCATATTTTTCCAGAGAGCACCGGGTATGGGTTTTGGGTGGCAGGTGGCACCGCCACCCATAGGGCGGTGCACCGTCCCCCTATGTCCGGTGCCCACTTGTCCAATGGCTAGTTTAAAATAGCCATTACAATTCGACCGTTGGGGCACCACCACCCCTTGTCCGGTGCCCGCACGTTGCTGTCCGGTGACCGTGCAGAAATGTGCTACTTGGCTCCAACGGCTCTATTTGGCTTGGGGGCTATAAATAGAGGTGGATCTCGGGCTTGGGCTTATTGCTGAGCACCGTTAAGCCTTGGTGGCTTATGTTGGTGTGCTTGGGAGCCCTCTAACTCACATACGCTTGATAGTGATCATCTGATTGAGTGTGAGTGTGATTCTAATGCGATTGCATCGAGTGGCACTAGGTGATCGAGTTGCAAGCCGGTGGTGCTTGTTACTCTTGTTGGAGGTTGCTACCTCCTAGACGGCTTGATGTCTTATGGCTCCATCGAAGCATGCAAGAAGATTGTGCGGTGCTCCGAAGAAGGTTTGTGAGGGGCACGATGCTCATCCCGCGGGAGCCACGAAGATCAACTCTAGTGAGCATGTCATTGAGCTACCCTCACTTTGAGTACGTTCTTGTAGCACCCAGCGTGTGGGCTTGGTGTGGTGCCAGTTAGCCGCCGAAGCACCAAGTGAATGGTCAACACAACGTGGACTAGCTTGGTGGACCAAGTGAACCACGGGATAAAAATCACCGTGTCATCCTTGTCTTCTCATTTGGTTTGCATCCTCGTTACACAAGCTTGTATTTACTTTCATTTACATTGTGCTTGTGTAGTTGCTCTTGGAATTAGTTAGCTTGTGTAGCTTGGTAGTTACCTTCTTGCTTGTGTAGTGTTGACGGTAGTTAACAACCATTATAAACCATCAAAGAAACATGAATAAGGGCATAAACATGATCACCAACAAAGGTCTAGGGGTTTAAACTAATAAATTCCATGAGTTTTTGTGAATCTGTATTTTCTGCAAGGTTTAGCTAGAAAACCGTCAAGGTGGACCTACATGTCAGATTTAATTGCGCTTATCCATCGCAAAATGGACACTAGAAGGTTCTAGAGGACACCAGAGGACACCACGCCGAGGCAGAGAGGCAAAGGCTGCCAGGTGAGGCTAGCCAGCCCCACCTGTAGGCCACCCGGCCCCTAGGCCCACCTGTCGGTCTTCGCGTTGCAATGTCGGTTCTCCATCGCCTCCTAGGTTACATCTACGCTGTTCCTTAAGTTGATTTGATCCAAGGGCT